TCAGATATTGTCCAAGATTAACATTCAGGGTGGATATAGCTCGCTAGCAGCCTCGCACCGAGGACCTATCCACGTCATCATTTACCCAGAATGCTTTGCGTGTAAAAAAATGGCCCCATCCGTGTAATATATTTTTAAACGTTTAGTTTAAAAATGATAAAAACTAAACAGCCTACCGTATTTTTACAGTCTTTATTTTACAGTTAAAATATATGTTTATCATGTAAAGTCTAATGTTACAACTAATCGGGGATCCCTTTAATTGTATTAAAGTGCTCGGTTCCCCTCTTTATTCCAGTAAAACAGAATAAATTAACATTTAAATCCTTTCTTAAGCACTTGTGTTCTTGCATTTACAGAAATTAATGGTCCTTTTGGTGTAAGAAATAGGCAAAAGTAATAATATTAATAAAAATAGTATTTCAAATGTTAAAACTGCATGGTCACTTGGATTATGTTGACGCCTGTAAATAATGCTGAAACACTGAAAGCAGTTTGGAGTCTTCATGTCTAATTAATTGTCACACTTTAAATTTTATTTTGCCATTAAAATAAAGTGATTTTACTAACTAATAATTTTCACWAAAGGGTCTTGCTGTTGGCGAGAAATAATGTTTAGATTTCCATAGTTTGTAGAAAATGAGCTTGATCTTATTTTACAATAATTTCATTTTTCTCCATTTTCTGATGAAGCAGCTGAAGACACCGATGCTTTGCTGCACTGCTCTCCATCAGCAGCATATTTATTTATTATCACGTGCAGCATCACTGTCTGTCACTTCCAAATATACAGTGTGTGTGGGTGTGTGTTCGGGGGGGGTTCACAGAGTGAGATGCTGTTCTCAACACTTGTTTCCTGGAGACTGGCCTATCAACAAGATAAACAGCAGATCTCATTGGGCAGGTCTGTTACAGGAACTGCTGTTTGCAGGCGTTACACAGTTTTATCATCAACAGGGAAGCAGATAACTGAACTCTGCAGACTCTGACAGACTGTTAGCAATAATTACCATTTTAAGAGCTGCAGGAGGCAAAGACACCTGCTTGTGTTAATCACTGCTGAACTCTGGATCATAATCCATTATTGAAATGTTGTAAAAGCAAACAGCCATTTGCACTGAGATCCGATCCGGCAACCATCTTGCTGGGAGGCAACTTCACCACCATGCCACCCAAAAAATGTTTCCTCCGTTCAGTTTCTGTCACTAAATAATCATTTTTGATCGTTTTTTTTATTTGAAGGATGAAACCCAGCAACACATTTTTGTTCCCTATCTGGTCGTGATATAATCGTCATCCTCCATTCAGTCTGTCCTGTCTTGTCCTATAGTGAGAGGACTGGCATCCCTCTGTACCCCCCGTCTGGACCCCCTTATMACCCCCCGCTCCAAAACTTTGCCCAGCTCCCTCTACAATCATCCACGTCCTCCACGTCTCCAAAAATCCAGATAAGTGTGCGTTCACATGATTGTGTCCTGCAGTGGCCCCAGTTTGTCTCCACGCCTCCAATGACATCACTGGACCGGAGGAGGAAGTGCGTCTGGAGAAGACAGCGGTGGGTTGTCTCRAGGTTGCCATGACGACAACATCATTTATCCAGTGTTAGGAAGTATTTAAGGCTTAATCACTCTGAAGCTTTGAAAAGAACAGAGATAAACTTGGGGGAATCAGAGTGTGATTTTTAATCTTCTTATTTTCTGTTTAAGTCGTTATCTGTTTCTGACACGATGCTCGGTTTTTAACTGAACGTCTGGAAGACATTCAACAGACGTGTGTCAGAACTGATGACACAAAATAAAAAGGATTGAACAGGAAGTTTCCTGCTCTCTCAGTCATCTGCTGTGACTGAAAATGTCTCTAAAAAAGCACAAAATGTAAAYAAAGAAGGAAGTTGAGCTCATTTGATAATTGCAGCTGATTTTCACAGCGAAGCTGAAGCTGAGTGTTGCATCTGTGAATWAATCCTGTCAAAGTCAAGGCCCGCAGGCCAAATCTGGCCCTTTTTACCATCTCATCTGGCCCTAAATGTGTTTGATTTAAATGTGAAATAGTTTTATGGCTTCGCTTTTTCTTCTCATGACAGCTGGTCAACTTTAAAGCCAAGAAAATTAAGTTTTAATTTTTCAGTAATAGAGTTTGATGCATGAAGAACAACACATTTTCCTATAAAGGCAGTGCTGTTATAATAACATCAGGTTATGTCTGATGCAGGCAAGAGGAACTCAGGTAAACGTAAAAGACTAATTTATTAAAGGGATCCCCGATTAGTTGTAACATCAGACTTTATATGATAAACATATACTTTAGCTTTAAATTAAAG